ATTTTGTTCTTTGAAATTTGAAATCATGGATTTATTATATTGTACAGATAAACAAGCCTCTCCTTTTTACGACGCAATTAGATGAAACAAGTAATTCCTTGGATGCTGCGACTGCACTTTAAGACCAATACAATAGCATAGCTATTGGTTGAAAAACGGATAAAAAAATTCATAGAGAAATCATTTTTTTTCCGTTTTTTCTTCGCTATGAAAATTGAAACAGATGTTTTCGGCGTCTCTCATCCTAATAACAAGACTACTCGTAGATCTGGAGAAAACCATGATTGCTCTTGAGTGCCCCTTAACCGGCGTTGAGTAGTTTATACTAGAAAAAAAATGAAAAACCAAAACATTGAAAAACTCAATCATCAATAGTGGAACTTTGAGTCGAACCAAAATAATACCACCTCTTAGCTTATCTCAATTGAATTTCGAACAAAAATGTAGACCGAAAAAATTTGACAAAAATATAATTTTTATTACTATTCTAGCATCAAAGTTATAAGCAAGCAATTTAGAATCAGGTTGGTGTAGTGTTGAGCACCCCCGCTGACAACACGAAGATCTGGGATTCGGTTATACCACTCAGCGATTGTTCTTTTGTATTTTGATTTGATTTAAGCAAACCACCCAAGGTGTATATAATTTCACCTAATTTAAAAGTCGGATCAATAAAATCAAATAATTTCCCACAGTTCACTTTCAAACGATTTCATCTAATGTATATGCTTCTAATAAGAACCCACGGTATTGCGCGTTATTTATCGCAATTATGGGTCAAATCAAAACTTACGAGCCCCAAGTATTTCTGAAATAGAATCACAATTTTTTTTCTAGATTTGAACCTGATTAATTTTTAGAAAACCTATCAAATTATCGTGAAAAACGCTTAGTCTTGACGGAATAAAAACAGCCGAAATATTCCGTCACTTTCTCCAAAAATCGGAATGAAAGTGTTATTGAAAAACGTTTTGGTACAGGTAAATTGATGACCAGGTCGAAAAAATAAAAAGAAATTTCACCCGGACTCGGATTGTTTTGTAGAGTTATGCTAGTTTAAGTTTGGGACTACTTTGACTATAACCTTTGAAATATAGATTACTAACCCGTAATCTATTTAGTTCTATTAAGCTTGAGCGGCAAATTAAATAATTCCAAACTGAACTGAGACAAGATTTCAGCTCATGTCATTATGTAAGCGGACTTTAAATTTTTCACTTTGCGGAGATATTAATCCAAAAAACAAATTTTTTCTCAAGTAACTGTAGTTTTTCCAATTTTTCTGAATAATTTTGAAGAACTTTTTCATCAAAAAGTTTTTGATCGACGTTAGAGGGCAGTTAAAAAATTCATATCTTGACCTTCATACGGGCAGACGTGTTATATTTTCATTTCTCGTTTTTGACTTTTGGCGCATTTCAGATTCAATTCCTACTTTCTCTTTCTTTTCATCGTTTTTCTTTTAAACACAAAACTATTTTTTCAGAAAATTTTTTTAGCCACCTTGCGAGATAATTAATCTCCTCCTTTTTACGACGCAATACGTTGAGACAATTAATTCCACGAATGCTCCGACTACACTTTAAACCCACTAAAAAGTTCTTATTGAAAAATTGAATATAAAATCAACTTTTTTATTTTTTTAATCAATTTGTTACTTTACACGTTAAGTAATTTAAAACAAATATTTTCAGCGTCTTCCGCTTTTATAAAAAAAACTACCTGTAAATCAAGGTAAAGCAATGAATATTCTGAGTGCTCTATACTTGGTAATAAAAAGCTTATGGCATAAAAACATTGATAAACTAAAATTTTTTGAAAAATCAATCATGAAAAATTAAAATTCAAGTAGCAAGAAATGAAAACAATTTTTAGCTTGCCTCAATTGAGTTTCGAACAAAATAATAGACTGGCATAATTCGCCATACAAGTTTTATCGGCTTTACATTTCTAGCATTAAAAATACAAAGAAGCAATTCAGTAAGACTGGTTTCAGAGGGAGCGTAGAATCAAACTAGTATAGTAACCCGGTTGGCAACTCAAAGATCTGGGATCATCTCGATCATACCACTCAGCAAATCTTTCTATGTATTATAGGTTGAAGTATGCAAACAACACTAGTTGTATATAGTTTTCACATAATTCAAAATTTAAAAAAATAATAATTGATTTCCCTCAGTTCAATTTCAAGCAATTCTATCTGTTGTGTACAGCACGTATAAGAACGCAAACATTGCGCATTAAATATTCCATTTAACAATCTACAAAATATTGGCAAATTTACAACTTTAGAAACCCAAAGTTTTACAAAAATTGACCACAAATTTTTTTATTGCAAAACTTGTCAAATTTAAATGAAAAAGCTTGGTAAAAATTTTGAAATCTTCGCCAAAAGAAATCGAATCGAAAAACTTGACTCTATTTAAATTAAATTTACATTGATTCGAAAAAACTTCAGACAATTCAAACAAAAACTGCAAAATTCTTAATGTCACAAAAAATATCAAAATTAATCAAATGAAGCTAAGTAAGCAATGAGTTGAGACGATAGAATCCCTCATGCGCGAAAGACCGAAAGCGCGAAAAAAAAATCAGCCAATCAGATTTCTGTATTCTAAATTTGGAAAGATTTTAAACATTTCCAGGGACTGGAGTATTGATATTGGCCGAATATAAAAACGGAAGAAATATGCAAAAATTTCAAAATGTCATTGACCGCCGCAAAATTGGGACAAATATTACATTTCAAGGGTTTCGTAATGAAAGAACCAAAATATTGCTTCATTTAATTCATTTTAACTGAATGGCAATTGTTTCTTTTTAAAAATTGACTTTCGGCTATTTTTGTCTTCGGTCCTTGGCCGACAAGTTTTTTTCGCCCAATCGGTCCTTCGCGCATGGGAATAGCCCCCAATTGAGACGAATTTTTTGAGATTGCGAAACTCCTTCGCGTGAATCGTTTCACAGCATGAAGTTTCGTGAGACTTGGCCGAATTTATAGTTAGCATGAGTCTAGCTCGGAAGTCAGTGTCGCAAAATGTCGCAAAATGTCGCGGATGATGGTCTTTGATTCTGACATGTCAGGCGAATCAAAACATTTAAGGCTAAGAAGAAAAAAGAGAAATAAAGAAACGTTAAAATTGTTATGCGCTCTATTCAATTTGTCCGTACTTTTTTGCCATATTGTCCAATTTAGAGTAAATTGTGTTCAAATTGTTTTTATCGTTTCCCTGAAGTTTTTATTGATGCCAATTCAATATAAACTTTGTTCAGTTTACTGGATTTTGTTTGTCAGATATGGCAATCAAAAGGTATACTTCTTCCTGTTTTTTTTTTCCTTTTTTCACATCGCCAATTTAACTTCTACTTTTGCTTTCTATGCCTCGTTTTTCTCGTTAGCAAAAAAATTTTTGTTCTAAGAGTTTATTTGTTATGAATTTTGGATTGAGCTGTTTTTGGAATAGACCAATAAATACTTGCTCCTCTATTTGTTGTTCGACTTAATTTGTTCACCAAATCTTGATTAGCAAAAAATATACGTATAATAGCAAAACATTTCTTATTCTCTGCATTTGAACTTGCAGGTGTCAGCCTTGACTAAATATTGTCCGTACTATAAAGTGTTTGAAATTAAGTAGAGTTCAAGAAAAACTAAGAAAAAAAACATTATTGGTCGACTAACTCGTAAAATTGCCCAGAGAATTCATTTACTTTGGTTCACAAGAACACTAATGTTTTCACCAAAAGGAAAAAAATCATATCAAGATAACATCAAAAGATACATAAAAATGATGCGTCCATTTTTTACCCATAATAAACTAGGTCGAGCGAAAAATTGCAGGTTTTTGTGTCGTAGGATTCATGAATTAGCAGTTAATATAGTTTTTTGTCCTCGTAATGATTCACTGTCCAGGTCACAGCAACGCTATAATCACAATTTAGCAAAAAGCTTGCGATTTCCTTACTGTCCAAGATCAAAGCAACTTTATAATTACAAATTTCAGCAAAAAGCTTGCAGATATATGAGCTAAGAAAGCTATCAATTTTTTAAAGGGTTATTGAACTAAAATGTATTATCATCACAGGAGAAGATAGATATTCTCAAAAAACTGCTGCGTGATTGCTGTATAAATTGGAAAAAAAATATGGTCACAATTGTATTAAGTTCGCGATTTTTAGAGCTCCTTTGACGCCAAATTATTCTTTATTCATCCCTGAGTGTGTATGTCCCTGCGTTCAGTAACTTGATCCGTTCACTTCACAGAACAAAGAATCTACTAATTGGTTCTATTTGATATTTTGTAGTACTAAGTCTCATTTGGTACCAATTTACCACAACCATTCTACATTTCTTGCTGACTATCATAAAACTCTGCATAAGTATCTTTGACGCCAATGTATCAATTTTTAGAGAACGATTGAACGCTGATTAAAAGTATCTTGATGGGCGTGTCATTTGCCGAGTAATAACGAAACAAAACTTAGTTGTAAAGTAAGATACAAATTG